ATTTATTATATCAAAATCAGATGGTGATTTCTATAAATTGATTATTTACAAATATATATGACTGATTAGCATGTATCTTATATAACATAATCTATATTGCAAAAATTATTCTTTGGTGAGATTGAATTGATAATTTATAAATAGAGACCCGAAAGTGTATTTATTGCACTATTGATTCACAGGTTTGACATAATAATATATGATATGCAATATAAATTTTATAATTTTTGATTATATAATTAAGGATTTAAAATTGATAAACTTAAGTTAAAATTTATAATAAAAACATAGTAAGTGGATTCAAACTTTTGAGAGCAACTATATATATATATTATTAACTTAACTTATATAATTTTCATATATTAACTTATTCATAACTAAAAAGCAATTTTTTTAAATATAATTTAAGAAATAATATTTTGTTTCTTTATTAATTTGAATTAATTTTTAATTAATAAAATCATTGTTTGCAAGCTATTATTATAAACATTTCAATACATATTATTACTTTAAAATTTTTTTTTTATATAAATATTTATTTTATTATTATTCAGAGAACTCTTTTCGCTGATCCTCTGACCACATACAAAAAAGACATTCACAAGAAGTTTCTATACTTCTAGGCTAATAAAGTCTTATTACTTTCTTTAAACTAACTTGAAAAAGCTTCAAGAACCATCTATCACCTCTACCCTTCTTGCTTATTATTTTCTTCAAACAAAAACTTGATCTCTAGTGACCTTAAAGATCAAAAAACATCTTTCCTACCTATGGCAAGAAAGTTCTAAAAGGAAGAAGAACTAATGTACTGCTATCTCATATCATAGAGAAACACTACAGAAGTGTTGTTATAACAAGAGACAATTTTTCTACTCTCTTGTCATATTTTTGCTTCTCATAGTGCTCATTCTTAGTTTTTTCTAGGGGATTTTGCTTACCTCAGTTTGACCCTGAATTTTGAGTAGCACAAAGTTTTTCATACCGTAATTGGGTAGACAGAATTCACATTAGTAAAAGAAGTAAACAAGTTTCTATTAGTCACTTCACATGTTCAAATGCATTTCCTCAGCTCCATAAGAACCTGGGGTTCATCATAAGTCATTGTGCCTGATGTGGGTGAATAATGAACACTGTCTACTTCTATATTTTTGGCTAAGCAAAAGAGAAAGAACTTACTCATCCCTTCCTTCTATCAAGAAAGAAGAAAGAAGACCAGGCTCAAAGGAATACAGAACGAGGACGATGCCTTAAAAGTGTTATGTCTATTCTTTAATAGCATGAATATTGGGAGATCAGGAAGATCTTAGGATCATTCATACCTAATCAACAACACCAACATGCAGTTGAATGACCTCGTGGCTAAAGAATATACTACAATGGAACATTAGACAAATGGTTCAATATCTACAGATAGTAATACTTTGGAAAAAACAGTATGATATTTATCAAGTCCAACAAGACGTATGCTGAAAGTACCAAGATTTTCCTTTCTAGGTTGGAGTTATCGCAATGGTAAAGAAGGACAGATTGTTGAATAATGGGCCCCTAACTATCCCAGTGCCCATTCACTTCCTCCTATATCCTAGAGCCCTCTGAAACCCCTGACTTATTATTACTCAGAAGAATATCAGTAGAAGATCTCATACTGGATAGGGTATGGAAGGAAAAGGTAAGAACTGATAGATAAGGATCACAACATAGAGATACTGAAAGCAGTGAAGGAACAGGCATTGCACCCTGAACTGATGAAGCTCTCGAAGAGTAATCAGCCTATAGTATCAATATGGTAGTAATAGCATGGTTCCAAGTCACCTATAACCAAACCATTTCCCCTTCTCCTTCTGATGTCTTTTTTGTAATGTAGAATCTTCACCCCTATTTAAATTTGTATAATCTTAGTTTTATTTCTTTCTTTTCTAAATAGAGATGGTAGAGTAGGGTATCAAACATATTAGCGAAACAGATCAGATGGTCTATGGTAGAGACAGATTTGTTACACATATTAACCTCCCATAAGAAATTTTTATCACCCTAATGGTCCTTCATTAGGTCTCTATCTGGAGATGGCTTAGCCATGAAGTGGTTTCAACCTATCATTAGTTTACTAGCTTCCCATTGTTTTTCTTTTGGTCATATGTACCTACATGTTAAACTTTGCTAATAAATTTGGCCAAGCCAGCTTAATATCAATATACTGTATTTCTTTAATGTTAAATTTCTAATTCAATAATAATTTATTTCTCACGTTACTTTATCAATCTTTGATTTATTATTATTTTATAATATTTATTCACTAATCATAATATAATTATATACTGTATATACCAGTATATATTAATACAATTTCTATATATCTGAATAAAAAAAAGTTTTTTTTTTTTTTAATCATAAAGTAAAAATTGGTGTACCGATAAATGCTGTATTTACATACAGTATATCAAACAAAATATTAAAAGATAATATAAATAGCAATTTCTGAACACGTAAATTAGTTGACAAATGCTACATTTTTTTAACGGCCAAAAAATGTATTTGATAATTTGATTCTACGAATTCATCCGACAATGGCTGAATTTTTTTTTTTTTTTTTGATTCAAATCGAATCCCTTTTTTTTTTAAAAAAAAACCGAGTTTAAGCTATATATGAAGAACTTATTAAAAAAAGGGTTTTATGGGAATAGCGCGTATAGAATCTTTTAAATTTAGGCAAATTGAATGCATATCTCCCGAATAAGCGATCGGACCATGTCAATCTTCCCGGACTCAACTAGGTCAAAACCGACAATTTTATAAATGAAATTGACATCCAACTTTTCATCATAGCCGATTAACCAAATCTAATCAGATTTAAGAGATGAGGAAATTCTAACTTAACGCGTGTGCATGCATTACCATCCCACACGTGATTTCGTGTCGTTTGTAGCACAACACAGCTGCAATTATTCTATGGCTTTGAATTCTTCAACTCAACTCGAAAGAATCAGCCGATGGTGGATGGCCCATTGAAAGTTAGTAAAGTACGCTGTTCTAAGTCATGCCGGATCCTCCATAACTTGATCCTCATTAAACACAAGATTTTTTTTTTTTTTTTGACGCACAGTTATTTATAGTAACAAAAGAAGAAAGAAAACAACGAAAATAACCCCAACTTTTATGAAATCAAGGAGTTTTCATTCTGTTTATTAATCTCGTAATTAGCAAGATGTGAAAATTGTGGTTTCACGGGAAAGGCAAACACGAATCGGAAGAAAAAAAAAAAAACATGCATTACAAAGCCATAATATGCACAAATAAAGTAAACCATACATCTCCTGATTTTCTTTGTCAAATAATTAATCCCACGATCCTCTTTCGAGCCACGTTGCTTTAGTCAGACCATGTGAGATCGATGTTCGAGTTAATTTTCGTGTTGTCCTTTATACTTCAAATTTGTAATCCTTAAGTTACCGGTTAATTATCAGGTCATAGAAAAAGTAGCCGAGCACTCGCAAAGTTACTAAAAAGATAATCTTTTGCATCAGATGTAGAACGGATAGGAATGATCTGTCCGGGTTAGACCTGTCATTCGTGACTTTAGTAGAATCATTGTTCACTATTTCAGTGTCGATCGCACCATTAAAAGTAAGACGCACGATTCTTATTCGACAACACTTTTGGGCTAAGTACACATTAGAAAATTTTCAATTGGAAAAATTAATCCGTATTCATAATCGGGAAGGATGTGAAGGAGCAGCATATCATAGGCATGAAATTACTATTGTTTTTATATTATCAAAGAGAGGGTGTCAAACTTGATTAAGTTAACAAATGCCATGACATGCGCAATGATCCGCTAAAGGCATAAAGTTGTATTCGCCATACGACGTGGGAACCTCGAAATAAAGTTTCTTTCAAAAAAAAAAAAAAGCAACATTCGCATTGGTGCATTACAGTGCAGTCACCGATGCAGGGGTAGGTAGGTGCCTTATTTGGTAGATTAGAGCACGTGAACCTATGGAGCCAGGGTAAACACTTTCGTGACCGGAACGAGTCGGCGGATTCTGAAATCTGGATACTGTTCGCATACTGTAATTGAAAGTAAGATTAGGTCTTGACTCTGTTTTCTTCATGTGACTTTATACAAGTCTATTTCATAGTAATTTCCCCCACCAATACGCGTGTCATTATTAGTAAAATTCTTTTCTCTATTTATGCACGTGCCAGTAACGAAAAATTTTCCTCTGTTGATGCACGAGAAACCTCCTTTCCTCATTATCACGCGTCACCAACATTCACTAATGAATATAATCATTAAACGTGTGTCATTTATACCGTATAGCATTGAAAAAAAAAAAAAAAACATTTTCCTTTCATTGCAATACGCGTCCTTCGCATCACTAGTAAAAATTCCGCTGTCTTCATAACGCAAAATCTTGTCCTTTTAAAAATTTCATTTATCGAAATACTTTGACGAGAAGTGAGCCAAACCTGTTGCCAATAACAGTAAATGATTCCCTTGAATTCTGCATTTGAGTCACGTGACTATGTTACGCGATGGAATTCAAAATGTACCACAGATTGATTGTTTTTTTTGTTTTTTTTTTTTTAATTTAATAATGATGACGAAAATGATGACCAAAATAACAGGTTTAATGTTTACGGGAAATTACGGGAGGACGCGATATGTGCGATAAAAAAGGTTATTTTTTGGGGGCGATGGAGAACCCTATTTTTGAGGCTTTCAGGAAGTAGAAGTAAACATTTACGTAATCTCGAAATGGAAAGCTTTAATTTTTACGTCATGAACTTCGTCCCCAGGGCCGTCTCAACAATAAGGAAAATTAGACAAACAGGTGAAAGCGCACAAACCTTGCCGTAATGCACTATTGCGACATCGCAATAGTGCATTGTATCTATGCGTTATGGATTTAAAGGGTAAAGGTCTCATTTACGGTGATTCTCTCCTAAAAATGCAAAGCTCAAAACCTTAATGCAACATGACAGAACTCCCTTCCAATTAATTATATCGATACCGTGATCACTACGCCCAGGTTGCGGAACGAGATTCCTAATGTGGACTCAGTCACTCCGGTGATTGCGGTCAGTGCAATCGCGTCCAGGTTCTGTGATCCCGAAGATCTCTTTGCCTCTTTCGAGGAGAATTGCACACCCAATGCATACGGTGCGCAGTGTGATTGATAGAAATCATTATGGGGCCGCTGGGTAACACGAGGGATCATCCGTGATTGTGACAGAAATAGGTGAATGTTTAAAATATTATTTATTCGGCAAATTAACCCCGACTCTCTGAGTAGTCACACGGCTTCTGATTCGACGCCATTCTTCTTTCACCATTTTCTTTTCTCGTCCAACTCCACACAGTGTATTATCGTTTGTACGCCCTGACTGGATTAAAGATTTATTTCCATAAATGGGAATTCCATTCCTATGGTTATGAGCGCTAATTGGATGATCGGATTCGAGCCTGCCCGCAGTTGTTGCATGGGTTGACGATTTCCATTCTTTGGGGATTACCGGTACACTGTGCCACGATATTATTGAAACCTGCGCATTTCAATCGGGGCTGATTTTTGAACCAAATCGACACGCACACACACACACAAAAAAAAAAAAATCTTTGCTAACGTAATAATCATCGACGAAAATATTTCGAGTTCGATAATCTCGTGCGTTCCGATAGATGCCCTAATGTGCGCAGCTTAATCACCTATTTCAGGAACTGGTACAATGGAGGAAATGCTTACCAAATCTGCGCGAGAACTTTTTAGTGAAAATTCAACGTAGCACATCACCTGATACATCGTTGTTGATAGAGAAATTCGGAAATGAATTGTGCCAAGATTAATTGTGTGCGCATGTGTAATTAAAGATTACTCGGTCCAACAATCATCGAGCAGATGGATTGTCATTATTAGCGTGCGCATGGAATAGGGATTGAAGTCGCTGATTACATTGCGAAACATACAGGAAATGCGCTAACCGCTTTCCGGCGAGCATTTAGCGTAGATGGCGAAAAAAAGAAGAGGAAGAAAAGAAAAAGGAAAAAGGCAAAGGCGTATGCACAATCGTCATGGAACATGGACGAGCTGCATGATCGTTTCGGACCACGCTCTCACACTAAACGGAAGAGAGGATTTTTCGCACGAAAAATTTCAATTAAGAACAGTGCTAACCAAATGTTCGTACACCATCGAACCATTGGATGCTTCATACATCATTATTTTCATAACAGATATAACTGATAGGCACCGGTTTTCGTTTTATCAATCTATTTCTCATTAATTTGATTGTGCATCCTCCTCGAGAGGTTCATACGGGGATCTCGCGTTACCTCATAGACCTCTCTTTTCTTCTAACTCAGTGCGACACTTTCTCTTGGATTCATGTATGGTGTTTGGGGAACATGTGTAAAAAGAGGCGAATTCACCTCCCGCATATCGTGAATCATCGGCAATGTTTACACGGTCCATCTCTCATTGCGATTAATTCATTATACGAGATCATGCAAGGGTCGTCGTTATCGGAATAATCGGGTTTCTTATCTTTCCGGCACAGAGGATTGGTATCAATGGTAATTTTACACCCTCGAGTACAATCCGAGCCGATTTCCATTCATGGTTGATTAGGTTACACAATTATCAAAGAGGTGCATTGGGAGATCATTTCCCTGATTTTGGTTAGAAGGATGTTGTCGTCGATAGTGGTCCCCTCCATTCCTTCATTCGCTCATCCATTCATTCATCCATTCCACCCCTCCCAATCAATAAATCCACTTATTCTTTGTTGTCAACTCTTGGAAAATCAAACGATCTTCGCTCAACCACACAACGTTTTCTAATTATTGCGTTCTACCACATTTCTTGTTGATGTCTTTCATCCTCTCCATTTCAGACTCGGTTGATCATCATGGCACATTATCGATGGCTAGCCACAATACTAGTACACTTGAAGATCATGAACAATATCATGATTCATGCAAAAGCATTTTCGTTACGTTATTACGTATTCATTTATTTATTTACTACTGTATTTACTTAAGCGCGCGTGCACCATTTCAGTCGATGATTGCATAACGCATATAGTGAGCCGGATGGATTTCTATGTTGGGTCACAATCGAATGCTTATTTGAAGGCCACGTGACTGTAAGGAGTTTGAAACGTTAGACTTGTCCAAACTTGATTCTTCCCACAGACCAAACCCAATAAGGCTCTTTTCTAGCGCTCGATGAAAAAATCATCGCGTAGTGTCGAAGATTGGTGGCTTTGTCTGATGCGCATGGTATGGTCGTGAGAATTGCGGACAAAGGTCATGAAAGAATCCGGTTGAACCTTAAAATCCCAAAAATCATCTTTCAAGGATACCTCGTTATTTCGTAATGCGGAAGAAAATTGTCGGGCAAATTTTGACTAAGCGAGCTGAGCATTTCTCCCGTTTCTTTCTTTCTCTTTCCCTTTATCGTTAGGGTTCTTGTGCGATCAAATTTCAAAATGGGCAAGAACCCGATTTACCGCACACGTACAACCTCTCATTTTGTCCACATCGTCAGTCAGGGCTGAAGGCTCTCGTTGACGTGGCTATGATTCAAACAATTGATTATATCAATGCACACCTTTATTAATTTCACACAAGTCGATAATCCACCAAATCGCACACGCTCACGTTCCATGGACGTGTGGATGATGAATGACGCGTGCTGCCTTCGCAACCGATCATCGTTATCGCGATTGCCCGCATCACCAAGAATCCCGGTTCGAAATTTTTCGTCGGTTTCTGGCGCTCTCTGGAAGAATCGGCGAATATTGGTGGGGCCAGTTCTGAACAAGTTTACGCACGGAAAAGAGGGTGAAAGGGACAAATCTGATGATGGGTTCGATAATGATTGGTTCCAATTTGATGCCGAATATGGAAAAAATTCATTTTAACCATGAAGGTTTTAATAGGGCAACGTAATGATGTATGAAATGCCGTATATGTGTTGTGGTTAACTGGTTGTTGGTCGTCATTATTATTATTATTATTATTATTATTTCCTATGGTGTTGCATTAAAGTTGTGAACACAAATCAAAAAAAAAAAAAAAAAAAGAGGCCGGGATAAATTAAAAAGGCATAATTGTTTGCATACACTCTATTATTATTATTGTGGTTGTGGTTGTCATTCATATGATCGTAATGGTCAACTGTTCTAACGTGATCACACTAGAGTTGTCTCAGATTGTGCACAAAAAATGGTCAACAAGACCTTTTGCAAATAATTGTATCGTCCCTCTTGCCATTAATCCACGCGACGACAATAATTGCTTATTTAATTGTGCGACAACTGCGATAGATAAATGTCTATTCCTTTCATTTCATTTTATTTTATTTTATTTTATCTTATTTTATTTATTCTTTAAATTAAATTTCGCCTTTTACCATTTACCGCCTCAATGAAGCCGACGCTCACACCCCTTAAACCTTTCCAGGCCCAATCACATACTGTAATTTCTCTTCAATCCATTCACCTTTCTCCTCTTTTAAAACAAGGAATGAATGAAGGAAAGGAATCCTGACCAAAATCCGTGACCTCCGGAGATTACGACTTTCGCTCGAACCATCATCCACACCTTTTTTGAGGGAATGCGTTCGTGTTTAAGACCGCACATGGGATGATGCGCACGATAGATAAGGTTGCGGGGTCACTCCGGTGTCGTGCTTGTGTAAAATTGATCAATGCGTAAGCAAATAATTAATGCCATCAACCTATGTGTCTAGAATCATACAAAGAAAAAAAAAAAAAAAAAATCCTTTCTGTCGACCAAAGAATTTTCATTTCCTCTTGCTTACATGATACTGTCTGACCGTGTGACATGATATACAAGATGTTCATTATGTAAACTTTTTGATTATGATATCATCCTGTCAAGTAGAAGGAGGGTAGCTTTCTTTTTTTTTCTTTTTTTTTTTTCTGTGTTTCGTTGATGGGTCATCTGCCCTCCACGTTCATAAAAATTCCAAATTTGTATAAATTTATCTTTAGTCTGGGATTCATGGGTGACAAACTTTGCGGTATACTTTTTTTGTGTTTACGCCACAAACAATTTCTTGAAATTTCCAGCTATCGGGATAGAATGCGCGCACAGAGTTGCGAGCTTGAAAATGCCTTCAATCCATGAGGTGTCTAAGAAAAGGGAAAAAAAAAAAAAAAAAAAAAATACCATCGGCATTGTGGCATTGAAAGGAGGAGTTGTGAAACGGATGAAATCCTAGTAATTAATTGGTGGATCGTCCAGTCAATGCTCAACAAGAAGTATCGGTATATGCATGCACATAATGTATGCAGATGCAGCCGTAATAAAGAATGAGGAAAATTGGTTTTTTTTTTTCTTTCTCTATTGAGAACAATAGATCATAAGAAAATCCTCACCTAAAAGTTCATCGAAATGAGACCGATTTGAAATTGGTGAATGAAACTTGAAAAAAACAAGGTGAGCGACAAAGTACCAAACTCGATCGCAAGGTGATGCCTGAGGTCGAACACTCTTTCGGGGTAATGATTCGAGTGAGAGGGCAACAGGAATAAATTCTTCCCGCCTGTCGTTCGCTCCGGTGTAACCGGATTTTTGCTCAATAATACACGACATGCTTCCACTTAGACTTGTCAATCGACGGATGAGAGATTGTTGTTGTGTAAAGATGCTCGATGGTTAATAATAATAATAATAATAATAAAAATTAAGGTTGTTTCTCATGACATAATGATGCAATTTTTTTTAAGGTTTATCTATTGGTGATGCGGACAAGAGCAAAATGCGGGGAAGGAAAAACAAACCATCTCTGTTAACCTTCCGTACTGTTTGTTGTTGCTCCTCTATGCTCCTTTGTGTAATGACACTTTAAACGATTCGCTTTGATTGGAGACGGTAAATTGAAAGAAGGAAACGTCGGAACCCTCATGCCTTTGACCAAAAAAAAGAAAAGAAAAGAAAAGAAAAAAAAAAGTTTTTTTTTTTTTAAATCCCTTTTTGGTGCGTAAGTGAAATGTTTTTCCGACCGAGAGGCAGAATTAAAGACCAATAAAATGGTGAAATTAATAGTAACATATTAGTAATTATAATAATAATAGTAATAATAATATTATTATATTATTAATAATAATGATGATAATGGTAATAGTAATAATAGCAATACCAAAATCAAAGGCGTTTCTTTATGTTTGCCTCGGTTGCCAAACCCAATTTTGTTAATCAAAGGAAGGAAGGAAGTCGAAATCCAAATGCTCAATCAATAATGCAAGAAACCCCCTAAAAGTGCGTATGCACGTACATACGTAATTAATCAACACTAGCATACACACACAATAATGTAATATAATCTAGGTGAACCTCCAATGGATGGATGTCTGGGGAGAGTGCGTTTACGTTATTTTGCATACATGCGCACACACTTTCTCTTCCAAGCTCGATCTTCGTTTTTCGCGCACGATTATACATGGCAGGCATAAAGGATTCCAGAATTTCAGCCACAGTTTTATCTTTCCAATGCACGACATTTCTGCATCGAAACTGTTTGATGTGTTTATTATAATAACCACTATTACTATTATCGTTATCATTATCCCTATATTAAATTACATCATAATAGGCTTATTTTTAATAGTTAAACAAGAATGTAACAAGCGGTATTATCCATTTCTGTTTTTCTTTTCGACATCGGAGTCGACACAAAACAACGACATACTAAATTACCGTGAATACACCATTACATTATCTACATTCCAACGTCGTTCTTCTCCTTGTGTCCAATTGATAATGACAAAAAAAAATTTTCCCTCAGAGGAACAATATGAATCGTGGTATTGTATCTGGCAGGCGTGGTCATTTGTTTGTTAGGCTGGAAGAAGGATCACACATGGTATTGGTTGATTGGGTGGTCATGAGTTTAGATCACAAAAAAAAATAATTTTTTTCTCATCGTCTGATTGGGTGGCAGAGAAAAATTGTGATTAAGGATCGTTCAAAATAGGTCTCAGTCGTTTAGGTCGTAGTTGGCGATGAGATAATAGAAGAATTGTTCTCGGTTCTCGGTTGCCTTTTTTTCCTTAGAAAATTAATGTGTTTGTGTAAAAATGTAAAAGGGGAGAAGTGACAGAGGTAGACCATTTAAAATGATGGAAATTGTCAATAAAATAAATTATTGTGCTCATCGAAGTGATGGCATGCGGAGAGTCATGTGTTGCGCGTGTCGCACGCATCACATGTACCGAGAGATGGCGCCGACAATAATTGTGAGGCTTGACCGTTAATCATCGTGGGGTCACGCACACATATCATCCCACGAAAATCGGTTCCGAAACGATCACCAGTTTTACCAGCCACGTTTACGTGATCAGCTATCTACTGCGCGCGCATTTCGTTATCAACGCGCCTTGGGCCTTTTCCTCTTTTGACCGTATGGCATTTCGACCAATACGGTTAGCGGATTTTTCGGTGAAATCAAAGAAATATCAAGCTTATGTCTTCGAAAAAAAAAAAAAGGGTGAGAGATTTGTCAAAGCCGATGCATTGAAGAGAAGCGTTCCTAGATGGTTGGCGCAAAAAATTTCGGGGAAGGGGAAGAAGAGTTTCTTTGTTTCTTTTCTATCGACGCATCATCCCTTTCCTCATTCAGTTCTCCTCCTTTGGAGGAGGACGGGTCTACGTGTTCGATTGTAATGATGTGCGCATGTCATTGACGAGTTTGTCCCTTTTGTTCATAAATTTTCTTCAAAGAAAGAATTTCGCCGTGCCGATCAATCGCATTCGGACTATGAAAAATAAGAAAATAAAAATAAAAATAGTTCGTTGCATTTGGTTGGTCAAAGAATTCTGCCCTCATTCTTTTTCTCCACAGCAATTGCGCCGTGAGATGTTGATTGGATCATAATTTGGGAATGATAATTGTAATGTAATTCATAATTCATTGCATTGAATGCAAGTTGGCACATTAAGATTCTCCTTTTTGAGTTCGAGATGCAAAAAGGGTGGCGGCGCATTTCGAATGGGTCGCGCCTTTGTTAAATGCTTTTTGTATACCATGCGGATGCAATCAACGATTGTGTTTACTACTCACCGGTGAGACACCGTAGAACGTGTCACCCGTTTATCCGGAAAAGCTTATCACCTACATACAGTATATACATAACTGGATCCGCATTACATCACGAAATTCAATCTTTTATTTTATCACCGGTTTCTTTTTTATCTAAAGTTATCACTAATAACATTCATATGATAGACACTTTAACATCACCATAACGACATTCTTTTGCCAACACCTCAAAGGCGATGTGCTAGGTTATGCACCCAGGATTCAAACTCCTTTGACACCCAACCAAAAAACTTACCGTCAAGTTTTCATTAGCATAAAATTAGCATAAACTGTGGCAGTCGAAATTGATAGAATGAAGATTGGAAAATGTGCGACATGTTTCCCAAAGATAAAAAGGTGAACCATTTTTTTGAGGGGCAAGAAAGGACTTCCTGCTGAGAACCGGAAATCCACTACTTTACGTTATCGATGCTATCTCTGTTTTTTACTCAGACAGGTAGAAAAGACAAAACTAAAACAAAACCGAATAAAAAAAAAAAAAAAGATTTCATCCGATTAAGCAGAGTGGGATGTTGAAGGTGTGATGGTGAAGAGGCCCTCCGCCGTTCATCTGGTAATGCCTTATTAGTGATGCAGATGCGTCAGTTAATAGTAAATGAAAAAAGGGAGGTGTCTTCTTTTTTTTTTTTTTTCAATCCGGTAATCCGTAGTTTCATATTTTTATTTATATTAAATAAAAAGTTCAATATATGATACTTTAATGTACACCAAAGGCCTCTCCGTCTTATTAAAAACCTGTCACAGAATTAATAGTTTATCATAACGTTATCTTGAAAACAAAAAAGAGAAATTATAATAATAGTGATAATAATAGTGATAATAATAGTAAATAATAGTTAATAATACACTCTAAAGCATCATTTATATGTGGCGTTATTCCTCTTACTTTAAAAATGCTCATTGGTTGCGCACACGTATAACATCAAATACTACCATTAAATATATAACTTATATTAAAGAATCAAAAAAAAAAAAAAAAAAAAAAAAAAAAAAAATTATACACATATTTACACTCATTTACAACATATATTAACAGGTATTCATCGCTTATTAACAACAACTTTATTGAGTATAGATTAACGACATTAGTACATATTGCTGGTTATTTATACGGGTATTGTAAAATGGTCCGTATACATTTAGTTAGTAATTGTGTCAGAGATATCTAAATAAAAAGAGAGCTTTTTCCCCTTCTCATCCTTCACCAAAAAATTCATCTTCTGAACATCTACATTCCAAAACAAAAAAAAATCTACCTTGAAAATTTTTTCAACTTTAATTAAACTTTTCTTTCGCCACACCACTATAAGCGCGAAGAATTTGGAATATTCTTTTTTCTCTTTTTTTTTTTTTTAAAGACCAAAAAAATTTTTCTTCTCCAGCAGCTTTCAACTTTCGCCAGCAGAGACACGATGAAATCCACCACAACAACATACACCACTACCCACAAGCATTCCACCCCAAGACTTATCTTAAAGACTACCAGCTCTAATGTCTCCGCCTCCAGCTCACCAACAATGGGCACCACATCGATAACTCTAACCTCTTCCCCAATAACAACCACCGGCTCTTTCTACCTTCCATCGTCACAGATATCATCACAGAAGCAAAATAAAAAGGGCCGTCTCATTCAGACGCACCTACGGAAACCTCCGGCGTTAGATACTTACATCCGAACCACCGAACCGGTGAACGTTAAAGTCAAGGTCAACAACTATTATTATGATTCTCCAAAACGGCATGGTTCACTTTCTTCTTCCTGCTCTTCAACCTCCTCCGAGGATAACGGTCGTTACCCAAACTTCACCAACGAGGAATTAATGTACGCCAAGAAATCTGTCGACAGTCGACCTCCTTCGCGACGAGGTTCTTCGTCTGTCAAATTTGTTAGGTTCGCGGGGGAGTATAATGACGGAAGCAGCATCACCGACTCCTCGAGTGGCACCAACAGCGCGGACGAGTGGGACCCAGAGGAGATGGAAGAGGAAGAAGAGCAATTCTACTTTTCACCCGTCCCAATGTTCAACACCCGAGTAACGACGCGGGGATGCTGCGAGTTGATTCGATAAATCTTGGAACAACGATTTTTTTGAACATTTTTCTTCTAGTTTAGGTTTTTCTTTTGGAGGTTTACTTGCGATCATCAGGATGGGTTGTTTTGAAGATGATCGTTCGTTTGGATTAATTACTTGGTTTAGATCTCGCGACACGATTGGACATTTTCATTAGAAATTGAGAAAACAAAAGAAAATCCAAAAACTTTTGTACATAATTCGATTGTAGTTATTTCTCTTTCTTTTTTTCTTTTTTTTTTTTTTTATTACTTGCAGAAACAAAAAAAAAAACGGACAATACGAGAGCACAATGTAATAAAAATTCAGCACTTTACTCCTTCGACATCAAATAAAGCAAAAAAAAAAAAAACAGGACAATCTTTTTTCTTCTTCCGACATTAATTCCTCCTCCTTCCGCACATATTTATTTTCTTTATCCCCTCTTAATTTTTTAATTTCTCCTTGAACCCTTTCAATATGCAAGCATTCGTCACAAGTTGTAATGGTTAATTAATATTATTAAGATGGACTCTTTGTTCTTAAGGATGATAGGCGCAAGTAAACCTGACTCTACGATTTCTTTCACAAAAAAAAAAAAAAAAAAAAAAAATATGAAAACAACGAAAAGTAAAAAAAATAAAATAAGTTCCAACAAGAAAAAAAAATTTTTTGTTTTTCTTAAAAAAAAAAAAAGCGTGAGCATTTTTGACGACTGTTGTATTATAATAAAGAAAGAAGAGTTCGTTTTTTTTAGTTCGCGAAAAAGGAACTTCTTTTTCCCGTGACTCTTATTTTTTGTCGTGCCGTCGCCTTTTCTCGCATCTTCTCTACGTAATCATGATTCCGTATTTTTGTATTTTTAGGAAAAGAAATTCCTGTGTGCATAACTCTTAAGCAGGACGTAGCATCCTGAGGCCAAATCTCAAATTTTTCTGTATCTCAATGATTGTTTCGATCATGAGTCAAATCACGGACAAACAAATATGCAAATGTTTGAACTTTTGTGCGACCCGTGAATGTGAATGTGCGTGGTAGATGGGCATGGTCAAATTTTTAAATACGATGCGTAGCATTTGAGTTTTTTATTTTTTTAAAACAAAAATTGGGATTGTTGAAGCACGTTCAACGGTCGAGAATACAATTTCGCATCCCTCCTTGCATGTCAATCAATCTCCGTTCCCTTCATTTACAATTCATGCGCTCGCCGCTTTCCTTTTCCTTTTCCTTTACAAGTAGAATCGAAACTCCCCAAGTCGGTTAAGGCGATGGGATTTCTATCGTTTCCGGCCTACGGGTGAAATCGCTGTTTTGCTGTTTTCGTTATTTCATTCTAATTTGCAACCATTCGGTTTGCTCCTTTCGATTAGCCCGGATTCAAATCCTAATTAATGACAGGCGATAATGCATGGTTTATGCTCAATCGGCAGTCCAGAATGATACTCGGTCCGTTCCATGCATATTTGTTTTTCACCTGTCACCCAATGGCACGCTTAAATTGGTTGCCGGTGATTCTTTCAAAGAGATTTTACAGAGATTCTTCGTTCGACTGTTTCCTCGCATCTGCCATGCAGGAAACACGTCAAGTGGTGCATGAACAATCGGTCAAGTGAATCCGCCCAGGTTACAAGTGTCGTGGACTTTTTTTTATGCACGCATACCTCTGGATTTTGCTTTCATAACCTTTTATCGTAAGATTCAAAAAATCTAATTTGGCTGCATTGACCTTAAAACGTAATTGAAAGTTTGCCTATTTATAGAATGAAGTTATTGAATGAACGGAGTTTGAAGTGCGTATGTACAATTGTACAATCCACTCCCTCGAATAATAAACCGTAATTGTATGCGCCTTTTCAGGGAGCGCGCGAAGAGGTGTAAGCAAAGAAACAAGAAGGTGATTGGCGAGATACACGAAGCAGGCGTCACGTTCCTTTATTTCTCATTTCTCATTGATCTTCGAAATCTTTTTCTTTATGTTTTTTTGAAAGGAAGCTAATAACCTATTAAGGAAATTTGTGATGGCGAAAATCGTGAGCAGACTGCCATATTAGGAGACGTACAGCGAATGGGAGTTAGAGTTTCAAAAGACAACCGAAAATTTGTGGCGTAGAAGGGGGTTGGAATGGAGGAGGGCTGCGGCGGATAAAGTATGGTGAGATTTCGGTGCAACTGAAAATCAATGAATCCTTTTCGGAGACTTTAAATTTCACTATAGGAAAATTTATCCAACTATACGATTAACTCTTCTCCACAAAGTAGACTATAGAGGTTTCATTATTTCAAGTTTCCACGCTCCTTGTCAAGTATGACATTGTATGTGAATGTACATTATATACACCTATAATAAAAAAAATATATACTTTTTTTTTTTTTTTTTACCCCGCATTTTTTTTTTTTTTTTGTGCTCGACATTCCCACACAGCAATCCCAAATGTAAACAATGATGCCTACAAATATAAATGACCTAAGATTTCTCCTCCTTTTCCCATTTGCTCACACTATTATCGCCGACTTTCGTAATAACAAAAAAAATCCACGCCTTCAGTCCGAACCTGAAACTTTTCCATGCTGATTATGTGGAACTCCCTCGGACATGATCCGTGTCAAAGTAAGAGGGGTCTGGAATTAATTTCAAAATTGTTGCTATTATTGAACTTTAAAAAAAAAAAAAAAACTCGTGTGAAACATGCTCGAATTGTTTATTCTATGATGATGAAATATTGCTTACGAGAGAAAAAACGAGGCTTTTCTTTTCTTTTTTTTTTTTTTTTAATCTACCTTTAGAAAGCAACTGACATTTTTTTCTCCTTTTGTATTATCTAAACAATAGCGTGCGTTTGCTACGCCACAACTTCCGATTTTTTTTTTTTTTTGGTTAAATGGTTTTTGATTCCGTGACGGATTAAGGTGGTGCCTCCGGAAATCATGTCGGTCAAGGTATACAATCTCAAGCGGCCAACCACACATTTCCTTGCCATTGTATATGAAAGTTAGTTTGGTTGGTTGCGAACGTGCCCCATTATTAGTCAGCTTTGTGTGATCAGGCTTGTGAGACAAAATATTACCCGCGAATTTCATTTGCGGGGAGCCATTTTTGATTCGGTTCGAGATTTCGAACGCATGAAAATGTCTTTGTGCAAAGGGGAGGTTGGGGAAATTCAGGAGTGAATACTTCCCCCCCCAAAAAAAAATTTAATGATAATTAAAAGGATCCAGAAGAGAGATCATTGTTGATGGGTGAAATGATGGCGATTGTTTACAAAGAACTAAAATATCCTTTCAAGATCCGGGCTAAGTCTAGGAATGAAAAACTTGATGCGAAGGGAAAGAAGGCACGTTGCGCCCTACAATCAGCGAGGAGGAAACCGAATAATCGTCACAATGTGGATTTTCCCAAAAGACATTGTCGCCTGTGAGTCCTTGAAATTCCTCGATGTGACCCTTCAGGCATCGGTGGAATAATTCAACAATTACGCCAGTTCAAAAAAAAAAAAAAAAAAAATTAAAGATAATATGCATAAATTATTATTCACATTGTTTGACATATTTGACATGCCATGTGATTCTTAAATGCTGGATTAATTAAACCAACCCCAATCAATCACTTTCCTTATCACCGTGATCCGACAATTAACAAAGTTTTAATCGTCAAGCGATGAAGGTCGCGCCATATCGGTATATGCGACCGCTGCAGTCTCCCGAGTTTTGTTTTCTCTAAGAAAACATTGGCGGTTGTTTGTGAATCGACCGTTGGTTGACCTAATTGATTCCTTTATTCAAAAAAAGAAATTTCAATGGATTATTCTTCCCACCTAAATACCAAAATCAGAAGTAAATGATTTTCCATTTAAGGCGGAATCTTTCATCCCCTTCAATCAAGTGGGACGATGCAATTCGCGCGCATTGGTGAAAGTTGTCATTACCTTTTACTTTCGTGAAATGTCAATGTATCACATATAAATTTTAGGTTACACTTCGTTATTCTGGGAAATTAAGGGTTAAAATGGGATCTTCGGTTTCTCGAGTGGTAACAAGTTTAAATATTTTTAAATTCCGAGTGCAAAAGATATTTCCCGATGATTACATCATCGACTTGAAATGGAAACGCCAAAAGCGCTGTGCCACCATCTCCGTTTATTGGAGACTCTTTATTATATGAAAAAGGGAAACTTTAAAAACCGGCTTCTTGCCCCCTGTCAACATGGTGACACTACAACGTATCACCAGAAGTCCAAAAAAATGTTAAATTAAATCAACAAAGAACGAGAGGTTAATGAAGTGTGCAATCTCTGCAATCTTTGTAGAGTTTCTCATAATCTGT